TCTTTCCCAAAACACTTAGCTCCATTTTGGAAGATTTCACTGATGTCCCCTCCTAAAACTAGAGGTGGGCAGGAGGCGGGGAAGGAAACGCTCGGGTCGTGGCGTGAACATCAGAGCGGGTCCTTGCCCCTCCTCGTCCTCACGCTGGGCTCGTTCTTGTCTAGTCTTGACATCACGCATGTTTGCAGGGCTGTTCCGGGAGAGTCCCCCGTCCCACCCTCTGCCTGGTGGGCAGAGCTGCATCCCAACAGCTCACCCCCTACATGCTTTTTCTCACCCCATGTGACCTTCCCACTGAGTGATGCCCAGCCTCCCAGCTTTTCGGCCTGCAGTCTGGCCCTCTCCCGGTGGCCCTGTGCAGCCCCCGCTGCCACTCCTGTCACCCGCAGCTCCCGACCATGCCCTGTCACCTGCCCCCGCTGTCCTGCAGGGTCCCTCCTGAACCGCAGCGCGTCTGTAAAGGCCAGATCGCGGCCATATCAGCGAACGCTTCTTGGCAGATGAACCTACTTGTCGGCTGCTCCAGTCCGATTTCCTGTCTTTGTCATACAGTCCTGTAAACGAATCCATTTTCTGTGGTTAATGTTAGGTACTAAATTTTAGATTTAATATTCAAAATTAATAAATGTTCAAAAGGAAGCCAGGACAGTGTTCTTCCGGAAGCTCGAGGTCAAGAGGTTGGTGTGTGCAGCCGCAGCGCCTGCCCAGCTGAGTGTGGGCTTCAGTGGGAAGGCCCTTGTCTGTCGGAGGGGTGCACTCCTGCTAGGGGGACCCCGGGCTCCCCCAAGTCCCTACCTCCTGGGGCCGGTCCTGTTTGTGGAGGGGGGACCCTGGTGGGGTGCCCAGGGGCCCAGGAGCAGCTGCTTTTCCCTGCTTTTCAGGCAAGTCACTCAGGCCCCAGGGAGCAGAAGGGACCGTTTGGTCACAGTGTGCTGGATGAGCCAGGACTCTGCCCACACAGTTCTGCTCCTTAGTCCGCACGTCTTTTTTCCACGTTTCTCATTTTAAAAGTTTAAGCATAACATAAAAGTTGAAAGAATAGTCAGCAAATCCCCAATTACCCTTCTCCTAGGATCACCCATTTTTATTTCTCCACATTTGCCTCTGTCTGCAGACACATGTGCAAAGGGCTGGATGTATAGCACGCTCTCGTACTTTCTTTGGCTGAGCCTGTGTCTTTGAGAATAAGGACATTCTCTAAATATCATGGTATCGTTTCCACCTGAGAAAAATAAAAAACAGCCTGTGACAGCTTCTGACATCCAGCCTATGTTCACGTTTATCCCTGTTGTCCTCAGAGAATCTTTTATGTTTTTTTAAGGTTTAATTGAGATTCATTCATTACATTTAGATACTATGTTCCTTGGTCTCTTTTTTTTTTTTTTGCGGTACGCGGGCCTCTCACTGTTGTGGCCTCTCCCGTTGCGGAGCACTGGCTCCGGACGCGCAGGCTCAGCAGCCATGGCTCACGGGCCCAGCTGCTCTGCGGCATGTGGGATCCTCCTGGACCGCGGCACGAACCCGCATCCCCTGCATCGGCAGGCGGACTCTCATCCACTGCGCCACCAGGGAAGCCCCCTTGGTCTCTTTTAATCTGGGGCAGTTCTACCCATTTTGTTATCATTTTTTGTGACGTCGAGTTTGTGTGTGGAATGCAAGCCAGTCTCTTGTGGAACGTGCACCCTCTGCATTTCTTCTGCGGCTTCCTTTCTGCCGGAAGTCTCATAGCCACTGCTGTGTGTGCTGCGTCCCACCCATCACTGCGCGACTGGGGATGCTGGCCTGGACCACAGGTATTGTCTGCCAGGTGTCCACGCGACCGTGAGGATTGACATGTTGAGGTGTATCTTGTTTCTCAGCGACCTTCCACCCAGTGAAAGTTCTGATGTCATCAAGGGTCCTTGCCTGAATCAGTTATTCCTTCGAGAGTTGGGAAAGGATGGTTTTGCTGATTCTTTCCTTTCTTCTACCTGCGTAAGCTGGCACTTTATTCATTGGCATAGTTGAGAGTTAGTGCAGCCTCGCGGACCCTCCTACTCGAGTGTGATGGGCCTTTGTGGCCGTGAGTATGAGCGATGCTCAGGCTGTGCCAGATTCACCGCTGAGCGCCCCATGGCTCCTTTTCCACGAGACCCTCACTTGGCCAACTCGCCGCCCTGGCCCGGCAGGCGTGTCCAGACTCACCCTGTGCCGTCCGCCCTAGTCTCCTCACTGAGCTGGCCCTGCTGGTGGTCCTGGACCGAGCAGAATCTGGCCGGAGATCCAGGGCAGGTGGAGGAGTCTCGCATGGAGGGCAGGCAGTCTGTCTTGTGGCGCACGGGCCTCTGCCCTGCTTGCTTGAGCCTCCTCTGCCGCGCGGGGTAGGGTAGGCCTGCGGGGGCAGAATCCAGGAGGCTCCCCTGGTGAGTGCGGAGCACGGTGAGGACTCGGTGAGTCCTGATGGGCTCCTCCCCATCCGTGGGTAAACTGAAGCAGGGTCCTCAAGATTGCTGGACTCTGAATTTGGTTCCAGGGAGCTCTGCCTCTGTGTTATTTGAAGGGTCTTTTGGTCACATTCTATATTCAGTTGCTCTATTTAACTTCTGAAAGTTTTTATTTTTGTTTTGCACAAAAAGCCAAGAACTTACTTGTCTTACTGGGAGTCGATGGAAGAGCCTGGTGTAGCTTTGAGAGCATGGTAGCAGTGGCCTGTTCCCACCTGTCTTCTCTGATTGTGGAGGGTAGCAAGTACTGTGTCATGTTTAAAATACCTGTTTAATTGTTGGTCTGTTTTTGAAGCTGGTAGGTGTGTAAAACAATGGCTGTTTTGGAGAGAGACACAAAGAGTGTAACCAGGGATGAAGGACTTATTTCCAGTATGTGACACAGTTTTTTAGGTTTGTTTTTTCTAATGGGATCAGGAGTGGCTTAGAGTTGACAGGATGCTGGGTCCGCCCCTGGGCGCCTCTCCCAACCCTGACCTGAGACGTCGGTTCACGCTTGCGTTCACTTTTACTACGAGGACACAGGAGCTTTTGGATGGTAATAGAATAATATGTAAAGTACCGCTCTTACTTAGAGTATTTACGTTTTCTCTTTTCTTGTTCTGTTAGGATGAGCTAGCATATTTCGTTGATGTGTAGATACAAACATCAGTTTTAAAAAGTTCTCTCTTTGGCACTAATTTCCTGCAGTAAGTATCAGAGGAGGGGAATCTTCACCTTTTTTCAAGCCTTCGTGAATTGGCGGGCCAGGTGAGGGGCTGGCTTTTGTGTTTCCCGTTGACTTTACGGTTGCGGCTGCACTGGGGCCCACAGGCCTTGCAGAGGCCACAGGCCGCGTGGTCAGCAGGTGGGGCTGCAGGCTGTTCTCTCCCTTTTGGAACCACCATCCCATGTTACATCAGCTGTAAGCCTCTGGGAATGACTGCAGTTTGGAAAAGCAGGAAGTGAGACATTTTACAGGCTTCAGTTAAGGACTCTTCCTAGTCCCTGACTTGACTGCTGCCTTTTTGTGTCTGGCACGGGTCTTCTGGGGTCGAGCCATTTGACATGTGGTATCCACGGGATGTACTCCCTTTGCACAGGGATGTTAAGTGTGGACCCACGAAAAGGCGTCCGTTATCAAAACCAGAGTAGAGGGAGCGCTGTTCACTTTGATCACTCACATCTCCAAGCAGCTCCGGGTGTCCTGCCTCCCTTCACATCTGTAGGGATGCCCATGACCCCCCGTGCTTGTCCCCATCTGTCCACCGGCCCCAGCGTTGGCTGTCCTGCCTGCACTTCCAGCCAGAGACAGTTGAGATGTCCTCTCGGGAGCTCACTTCAATGCCTGCAGTGCTTGCTCCTGGGCTGGGAGGTGACTTGAGTTTTCTGGGATGGTTTTCTTGATCCTTTTAACCTGATTCTTTTCTGAACATTAAAAGCAACACTCAGAAGTGCTGTTCTCAGGAGCGTTGCTGTTCTTTCCTTCTGTCGCCCTAAAAAGTCCACGTGGAATGTTTTCAGTGGATCGTCACTTAAACAGAGGCTGTATTTCTTAAAATTATGTGACCACATATTTCACATTACTATGATGTGGAGCACACTTTGGAAAAGCCTATCTTAGGGCATATTTTCATTTATATGAACTCAGCACAAATTCTTTTTTTTTTTTTTTTTTTTTTTTTTTTTTTTTTTTTTTTTTTTTTTTTTTTTTTTTTTTTTTTTTTTAATAATTGTGTTTATTTTTACTTGTTGACAGTTTGCTTTATTTATTTATTTATGGCTGTGTTAGGTCTTCGTTTCTGTGCGAGGGCTTTCTCTAGTTGTGGCAAGCGGGGGCCACTCTTCATCGCGGTGCGCGGGCCTCTCACTCTCGCGGCCTCTCTTGTTGCGGAGCACAGGCTCCAGACGCGCAGGCTCAGTAGTTGTGGCTCACGGGCCCAGTTGCTCCGTGGCATGTGGGATCTTCCCAGACCAGGGCTCGAACCCGTGTTCCCTGCATTAGCAGGCAGATTCTCAACCACTGCGCCACCAGGGAAGCCCTAGCACAAATTCTTTAGTAAAGTATGTTAGACTCTCACATCTTTCATAATGTGAATAATTCACTTACCTATATGGGTAATTTGAATTTTCTGTGTTGCGTTTTCTTAAGGCAAGATGTAGTGGTATAGGCTTCAACATGACTGGCTTAGTTCTGCAGTCCAGTTTCTCTAGGAGCTGGGGGAGAGTTTATTTTTCCCTTTTCATTTTCCTTTACCAGGTCTTTGTTACTGGGTGTGGGATCTTTAGTTGTGGCATGTGGGATCTAATTCCCTGACCAGGGATCGAACCCGGGCCCCCTGCTTTGGGAACACGGAGTCTTAACCACTGGACC